CTCCGGCCCCGATCCCCAACCCGAACCCGGCCCCGGCCCCGGCCCCGGCCCCGTCCTCCGCCCGCGCTTGCCCTTCCTGTCCTCTCCCGCGCTTGCCCCGCACTTCCGGTCCCCGCCCGCACAGCTGCACAAGCGAGGTGGCCGGGCCAGAGCGGCCGGGCTGTGCGGTGGCGCCGTCGCGGGGTCGCATTGGGTATTGCAGGCGGCGCCCGGCGCCCGTGACCTGACCAGCCCCTGCAGGTGGCCTAGGCCTTGGGCACCCCCGCTGCCAGGGGACAGGTCCTGGGCAATGAGCAAGAGGCTTGGGGGTGGGGCAGAGGCCGGGCTCAGGCCAGTGACCAGCAGCCTGCCAATACAACTATGCAACATAACGCAAAACTCCAACGTTTATTTAAACTGTACAGGCAGAAACATTAAAAACCCCTTAGGAAAAAATCCGACAGGTAGTTCGAGTACTTTCACGTCACCCAAATTCAGAACAGCTTGGTCCTGATGATTACATGGAGTCCTGGCCTGTCCCAGCCATCTAGGCCCAGCACAAGGCCATTGACAATCTGGCTTCTCAGCCCAGCCCCTAACCAGGTGCCCAGCATGCCGGCAGGGGCACCTGATACGGCGGTCCTGGGTCAGCTCAGTGGCCCGTGACCTCCCACACCAGGATCTCATTGTGGGCTACTGAGAAGAGCAGCCTGGCAGATGGGGTGAACCTGCACACATGCACAGAATCACCATGGCCAGCAAAATCCTGGGCGGTCCCCGATGCAAAGTCCATCAGCCTCAGCACACACTCTGTGGGCAGAAGGCACAGAGTTGTCCAGAGTCAGGTAGCACGGTGCTGAAAGGCTCAGGGCTGTGTTCTCCATGTCCCATGGCCCACTGCAGCTGCGACTGGGGCAGCAGAGCTGAAGGGGTCCACCTGAGCCAGGGTGTCCCACTCCCTGGGACGGGCAAGGCCCCGCTGGCCCAGCCACACCCCTCCTTGGAGTCACCCATTCCTTGTTCAGACCCCAGGGCTGTGCACTGAGCCTGGCACCTTGCACAACTCATCTCCTGATCCTGGGGCAAGTGTCCTCACATCACCTCAGAGACAAGGAGCCAACGGTGTACAGGTGAGCCCACTCAGCCCCACCTAAGACAGGCCTGCGTCTGTGTCCACCAGCACTCACCAGGGAAGCCAATGGCCATGAGACGGGCCCCCGGAGACAGGCTCAGGGATACGGCAAAGAAAGGCAGCGGTATCTTCTCCACCACCTGCAGAAGCAAGTGCTAGGCTCCTATGGCCTGGGATCCTGCCCTCCACAGCTCTGGGTCCCACAGGTTCCCAGTACCACGCAGGCAGATCCATGTACCTGCTTCTGGCGCAGGCTGTAGAAGATCACCTCCTCATGCAGGCCAAGGCCCACGCACACCAGCAGTGCCCTGTCCCAGGGGCAGAAGGCAGCAAGAGAGGACAGCGGGCAGCCAGAAGCCTGTGAAGAGATGCACATGCTGTGGCGGGGTGAGCAGGCACCATCCCCACCTGCGCTGCCACCGGGCTTTCTCACCTGCACAGCAGCAGGTGCCGGGAAGCTCAGCCAGTCCACGAGCTCACAGTGGTCCCGCAGCCAGTCAGAGGCCCAGACACTGACCCGCTGGTCCCCGCTGGCAGCCAGCCATAGCTCTGTACCCTCCACCCCTAAGTCTCCATACTGGGGGGAAGGGAGATGGGGGCTGATGGGTGCCCCCTGCCCGTTTTCCCACCCCCCTGCACTGCCAGCACCCCCAGGCCCCTCCTCGCCAGGTCTGGAGGCTGCTCTACCTCTTTGCTTGTGCTCTGGATGGTGGAAATTGGGACACCCTGGTGATCACTCAGCACACAGAAGGTCATCCCTGTGCGGTGGCAGCTCACAGCCACAAGACCATTCTGGTCTCCAGAGAGGACAGTCTGACCTGGGCCAGGTGGGACCAAATGTCACCCTGAGACCCCAGCCCAGAGGTGTGGCCTGGGCTGGGTAGGGATGGGCGGCACCCTACCCACTCCAGCTCCTCACCATTGGGGGAGAAGGCAATGGCCGTCAGTGCAGCTGGGTGGGGGCGCATCTTCCGCTCCATTGCGGTATGGGAGATGCTGAAGACCCGCAACGTGCCGTCACTGTAGCCCGCCACCACCCGCTGCTGCTCTGGGCGTGTGCAGGACGGGGGGCTCCATGCCAGGCAGAGGCAGCTCTGGGAACCCATTGTGGGGTATGTCAGCACTTCCCCAGGGAGGGGGGTGATGGGGGCACCAGTCCCAAGGCCATGGACACAGACCCTGAGGCCAAAGGGAGGCCTCAGCTTCCCGAGTCCCTCAGCAGACAGGCAGCACTCGCTGGAGGCCCAAGCACCCCCCCCCAAGCATGCACCCCAGGTCCCTGGGAGCCCCACGCACCTGGTTCAGCACCTGGAACTGGATCACCAGCTCCATGCTGGCCAAGGACCACACCCTCACGCTCCCATCCTCGCCACATGTGGCGCAGTGGGACTCGCTGGGGCTGAAAACCACTTCGTTCACCTGTGGGAATCCACAGCTGGGCTGAAGGGCACCTGGCCAACCCTACCTGAGCCCACGTGGCCCTCAAGCAGAGAGAAGGGTCACAGGCCTTTCCTACTCCAGCCTCCCAAGCCAGGTGGTCCAGATAAGAGCATCTGTCTCCTGCCTACGCCCACCTGGCCCCAGCCAGCTCCATGTGGTATAAAGAAACAATCATGACCTCCCATGGGTGTCTCCACACTAGACCTAAGGGCAATCCAAAGCAAAAGAAGCCTATTGGTCAAACTTGGTGGGATATCACAGAAAGCTGTCTGACAGAATCTAAAAGACAGGGATGTCAGCATGTGTCAAGTGGCTGCGGACTGACGGTAAACAGCACAAAAACACAGCCTTGGTTGTTTTCAGTGTTCATGTCATTGGTGGCAGTGGTTTGGTTTTCCTGAAATTGTCACAGGCATATCAGGGGAGAAAGCAGATGTGTCATCATGTAGGTACCACTGAGAACTGGGATTTTTGGAGGAGGAGAAAGATACAGGGGCCATGTGCCAGTGACGTTAGATCAAATGACACAGTTCTGAATTTGAATTTCAAGTGTGAGTGTGAACTTATGATGCATTTCACCTCAAATAACAATTTAGCTCAGCTCCATTGAGCAATGGTGAGCTCTTCTGGGGCTCAGACCATTCTGGGCCTCTAAGTCCATTTCCCATTGCGGGAGTCCCCAGGCTCTGCAAAAAATGGCCAAGTCCGATCTTGGGCAAACTGCACAGGGTGAGCCTGGAACAAGAGCGGAGCCACTAGGGACCACCAGCTCAGGTCAATGACTCAGGACCCAAATTCCCAGACTCTCGGGGGGAGATAAACACACCACGTTCCATCCATGCAATGGAGTAGCATTTGGCCATAAGAAGAAATGAACTTCTGACACATGGTGCCACGTGAATGAACCTGAACATGAACCAGACATGAAGCTCAATGAGAGAAGACAGATACAAAAGGCCACGTAATGCTTGAGTCCACTTGTATGGAATGTCCAGAATGGGTAAACCCATAGAGACAGAAAATCAATCCATGGTTGCCAGGGGCTGGGGGGAGGGGGAAATTGGGAGTGACCACTTAATAGGTATAAGGTTTCCTTTTGGGGTGATGAAAACACCTCCAATTGATTGTGTTAATGGTTGCACAACTCTGTTGAATATTCTAAAAACCACTGATGTTAAGTGGATGAAATGTATGGTACATATAAATTATACTTCGATAAATCTGTTACCAAAAAAAGAAAAGTAAATAATCCTCACCCATGTCAAACTCAAATTTTGTTGATGGCTACCATTATCTTGGAATAAACATAGACTTTAAAAAGGAGTAAAGAGGGGGGCCGGCCCGTGGCTCACTCGGGAGAGTGTGGTGCTGATAACACCAAGGCCACGGGTTCGGATCCCATATAGGGATGGCCGGTTGGCTCACTGGGTGAGCGTGGTGCTGACAACACCAAGTCAAGGGTTAAGATCCCCTTACCGGTCATCTTTAAAAAAAAAAAAAAAAAGGAGTAAAGAGGGGGGCCGGCCCGTGGCTCACTCGGGAGAGTGTGGTGCTGATAACACCAAGGCCACGGGTTCGGATCCCATATAGGGATGGCCGGTTGGCTCACTGGGTGAGCGTGGTGCTGACAACACCAAGTCAAGGGTGATCCTATATAGGGATGACCGGTGAGCTCACAGCGCTCACTGGCTGAGCGCGGTGCGGCCGGTCTCAAAAAAGGACAAATAAATAAATAAATAAAAAATAAAAAGGAGTAAAGAGCCAACTCAAAACCTCCCATTGATAGATGAAGGGAGTCTAGGAGCACACTGACATGGAGCCCAGACACGTTTGCATCTGGGAGTTCCTAAAGACACTCAGGACTCAAGCATCTACCCTACTGCTGCATCCCGGCCCTGCCCCGCAAAGCCAAGAGCTGAAGAGACAGTTTTCCTCTCTGGAAGCATGCAGGCCATTCACGGCATCCCACCTGCAGTCTCCACTGCAAGTAGAGGGTCCTTCTAGGTCAAGAGGCCACCAGGACAGGCCAGCAGTACCCTATAATTGCAGCAGGAGACACAACCCACCACCAGGAGGAGATGGGACGGGCCACTGCTGGCCCTGACCACCTAGCCCAGGCCTGACCCAGACACAACTAGACCTGACCAGACCGTAACCAGAATTGACCAGAACCTGACCAGGCCTGACCAGATCTGCTGCTGACCTGAGCAGAACCTAACCCAGGCTTGACCTGACCCAGACCTGACTAGACCTGACCAGCCCCTGACCCAAGCCAGTCTGACCAGACTCTGACCCAAATGTTACCAAAACCTGGCCAGACCTAACCAAGACATGACCAGGCCCTGACTCAGACCCGAACAGATTCTGACTCAGACCTGAACAGACCCTGACCTCACTAGACCTGAACAGACCTGACCCGTACCTAACTGGCCCCAGACCCTGACCCAACCGGGCCCTAACCCAGACCTGACCAGAACCTGACCAGGCCCTGACTCTGACCTGATGAGACTTCCATGAACATTTTAAATGTTGAATTAAAAATAAGGAATGTGCAAAAAAGTAAAGTAGAAAAAACTTTAAAAATAAAGAACTAACCAGACCAGAACTTGCCCCAGGCATGACCAGAATTTGACCCAGCCCTGACTAGACATGATGTGGAACCTGCCTGGGCCTCCTGACCCCTTGGGCCCTAGGAACAACCCCTGGACACCGCACCCATGAAGCGAGTCTATGGGGGCCCACGACAGATAACGTAGTCTCTTCAATGAGTAAATTATGAGGGGAAAAAAAGCAACAGAGAAGAAAGGAAGGACCTTGTAGACCTGTGAGGTCTGCTGGGCAACTCCCTCCTGTGGACCCTACTCGGACACCATGTCAAGCAACAGGAGAGCATCAAGGGATGTGTGTGCTTGAGAGTTGCTATATTGAAAGTCCCCAACACAGTTACTCATGAGCCACTGACAGCTGCACGTGTAAGAACCTGGGGTGCGAGAGGATGGAGCTGACCAGATGCAGCTTGTTGCCCTACCCTACTCTGCCCAAGTTGGAAACGCCTCAGACGTGTTCTGCATGAGTCCATGGCCTCACCTTGCTCCTGTGGCCACTGATGAGGCGGGTACTAGAGCCCTCGGCCCAGCTGACATACCAGAGTGTACCCGCAGTGGTGCCCACAACGCCCATGTCCATGCCATCATCGAAGCTGGCACTTACAACGGCCCCATCCAGGGTCAGCTCACGTTCCATGAACACAGAACTGTACCTGAGGGGTAGGGGAGGAGGATGGGGGTCTCATGGTAGGTGACAAGAGCCACCTGGGTGCACCTGGGCAAAGCAGGGCCCCACAGCCATCACATCTTGGGGCCTGGCTGTGCTCCTAAAGATGGAGGCAGTGAGAGTCCAGGGAGCTGAGGGGCTTCCGGGCCTGTCACTGTCCTCACGCTGCAGCCTGTGGGGCCCTGGCCAGGCCCAACAGCATCCCCACACAGTAGTGCAGCTGATGACAGATCTCCACAGCAGCCCTCGCATGAGAGCAGAGCCCCTTGGGAGGAGCAAGGCTCAAGGGCACCAGGTCGAGGGTACAAGCGCCAGCCTGCAGCCAAAGCATGAAGCATGGGGCAGAGCCACTGCCCCCATGACAGCTCACCTGGCACGTGAGCCCTTGCGCCTCAGCTCCGGCACGGCCCCCACAGCCCACAGGCGCAGCTGCCTCGTGTTGCTGCCACTGACCAGTCTCGAGCCTGAGCATAGCAGCACTCCTAGGAGATAGTGAGTAGCCATAAGCCACCTTCCTCGGACGCCCTGGGCCACAAGATGCCTGGAAGCCAGGACTCAAGGCTCCCAGGGACAGTTCCATGCCTTTAGCTGTTGAGGGGCCACGGGGGCTCTGCTATGCACCCACCGATCTCGCCATTGTCCGCCTCCCAGGCCAGAAAGCAGCGGCTGGCACACGGGTCCCAGACACAGACCTGGCCAGAGCTAGAGCCACAGTAGAGCAGAGAGGCAGCCCCATAGCAGAGTGAGGTCAGCTCACCCGCCCCCGCCTCCTTGGGGATCGGTTCTTGGTGCACCTGGCAGGGCAAAACTGTGGCTGTGAGTCAGCAATGATGCAGGTTCAGACAGACTCCACCCCCAAAATTGCCTCTGAACCTGAGCACTAGAGCTGGCAGCCTGGCACCTGGAGACTGACGTCTGCCCCCCGCTGCTGCAAGTGCCAGAAGGTGACAGCACCACGGCCCACACAGGCGAGCTCGCTGGCATCCCAGGGATTGAAGGCCATGCTGTGCACCGGCTCTGGGAGGCGGGCAGAGGACACAAGCTTGTAGGTGACTGTGCTCCATAGGGCGAGAGTGCGGTCACCATGGTCCCCTGGAGAGACACGTGGGCAGGCATGTCAGGCATGCAGGTCCAGCCTCCCAGGGGTCCCAGGGAAGCCCCTGCCCTCTGCCTGCTCTGCCCACTAACCCAGTGTAACAAGGAGCCTGTCGTCAGGAGAGAAGGCCAGGGCCCGCACAGTGGTATTATGATGAACAATGAGGTGCTGGCAGAGGCCCCCAGACACATCCCAGATGCGGATCTGGCAGTGGGCGGCTGCGCTGCTGTGGCCTGAGGCAGAGGCCAGGACCTAGCAGGTGGGAGGGTAGGCAGTCAGTGGGAAGGGTGCATCTCGTGGTCCCACCCTGACTTTGGTGGCAGGGAGGCCAGAATTGTCTTTGCGCTGTCTCTGGTTGCAAGAGCCAGTAGCGGTCCGGGAGCTAGGCTCTGCTGCACAATGAGGCCCTAGTGTGGAGGAGGGAGATGTGGGGCGGGCACCTGGGCATTGTGGCTGAGGGCCAGTGTGGAGATCTTCTCTGGGTGGCCAAGCCAGTGCTTCTGGGTGCCAGAATGCAGGTCCTCCACCACCACCACGCGACCACATGTGTAGGCAAAGAAGCCTGTGGGAAGGAAGGGCTGCCTGGAGGCCGTGCCAATGGACATGGGCCCCAGAAGTCAGCAAGGTCCCGGGGGCGCATGCTCGCCATCACTACCAGCAGCCACGAGGGTTCACAGGAAGTGGACTGGAGCCCAGCAGGTATTACTGGGAGAATACACCCCTCCACCCTGGAGCCCCCAACTGATGCCAGCGCTCTCCAGGCCTGGTCCAGGGATGGATGAGCTGGGCCCCACCATGCTGCTTCTTGACTGGGGGCAGGGGAGGGCTAGCAGTCGCTACCTGTGTCCGGCCTCCAGACCATGTTGGCCCACCCATTCCCACTGTAGCCCACGACAGCCTTCAGGCGCAGCTGCTTGCCATGGGCGGGAGGGAAGGAGATGCCCTGCAGAGAAGCAGACCCGGAATTCTGGTGCCCAGCAAAGTCATGGCCCACCCCCAGCCATCTCAGGACACATGGGCCCCAAGCCTATACATGGGAGGCCGTTTTGAGCCACACCCAGGCCAGGTGGGGACGGGAGCTGTGGGTACAGACAGGGAAGCGGTGGGAGGTAAGGGAGCCTGGAGCATGGGGAGGCCGAGAAGGGGCAGCCAGGCCCACGGGGCTCTCAGCAAGGGCAGCTGCTAGGTGGGGTCAGCAGGTTGCTAACAGGGCCCAGTGTAAGTGCCAGATGGATGACGGGAGTGTGGGTGCAGGAGGGAAGGAGAGGTGCCCTTCGGGGTAACAGGCCCCCAAGGTCTGGAGCACTGCCTGAGAAGACCCTGGGGAAACCCAAGAGGGCCCCATGTCCACTAGGGAGAAAGAGGGCTCCCAGAACACCCCCCACCCCGGCAGAGCGGGGCCACAGCCGACCTTGGCCAGCATGGAGGCCTTGCAGTGGGCTGAGAAGTGCTTGCAGGAAACTGGGTGGGTGGCAGGCTCAGGTCCTACTTCTCCAGTGCTTTGGGAACCTGAAAGGGAGGAAGAGTCCAAACTGCCCAGAAACCCTTTAGAGATCCTGCACCACACACAGTCTACCGGTGAGCTGTGCCCGCTGCAGCTGTGTGGGAACCCCCTTGCTCGCCCTTTGCCCTGCAAGGGACCTCACCACATCTTACAGAGGCAACACCACGACTGTCGGGGTAGCTGAGGCCACCCTCAGGCCAGCTCGAGCTTATGCAATATGGGTACCTGGCCCCCTCCCCTCGCCACCAGTGGCCTTGCCTGCTGCCCTCCACTGCTTACTGGGCTGGCCGTCGGGACAGGGAGGCACAATGAGCCCCTGGGAGCCCCTGGCAGCCCCCCAGGCCCCATCTCCAGCCCAGCTGGCCTCCTTTCCCACTAGTACGGGTGGGCCTGGGGCCCGGCGTAGCCCATTGAGGCCGTGGCTCTCCTCACAGGACCCTTCCTCATCCGATGTGGAGAAAGTGCCTGGGGAGACAGCAAGAAGAACAAGAGGAGCACATACCCTGACCCCACCTGCACCCCTACCCAACAGGAGGGAGGCCCACACGCACCCTCCTGGGACCCCTCCCCCTCACCATTATTGCCCTCAGGAGGCCTGGCACAGACACCAAGCTGTCGTGGACATGCCTGGAATGGCACAGGCACCTGCTGCCGGGGGAGACTGTTGGCCCCAGATGCCACATCCTTTAGCTGCCCTGGGCCTGGGCCTGGGGATGGAAGGAGATGCCTGTCACTTAGGGCCAGCCTCCCTGCCCTGGTGAAGGAAGCGGCACCTGCCAGCACCTGCATGCCTGCTCCCTCCATCAACCCTGAACCACTCACCAGGCTCACAGGCAGAGGGTGACATGGGCAAGCTTTGATCCCTGGAGAGGAAACAAGGGAGGGAGTCAGGAATGCCTAGTGGGAGGCCCAGGTGGACACAGTTGATGGCGGACACTTGCCTCTCAGGGGTGACCAGGATGTCCCAGAGGAAGATGGCGTCCCCCACGCTGAGGACCTGCTGCTGGTCAGGGGTGAAGGCCACTGCCTGCACGGGCTCTGAGTGGCCAATGTACACCTGGGGGCAATGAGTAAGTGTCACATGCAGAGACCCCGAGGTGTACTGGGAACTCTGCTGTGCAGGGTCTGTGTGTGTGGGGATCTGGTGGTGAGCCCCTAGATCCACTAGACTGGGAACTGAGAGACCCCCATGTAGCATTAGGTCCCAGCCAGCACAGAGTGTCCTGGGGGTGGTCCTCCACCCTCCCACCTCCCCAGCCCTCCCCGCCCCCCAGCAACAGTCTGCTCTATCCCAACCTGGGCCTCCAGGCGTCTCCCCAGACACTAGAGAAGACTCCTGGCAGCTAGGGCTGCCCGTCCACCCACGACACACACCTGGCAACTGGGGCTAGCCTGCATCGAGTAGTCCCACACCTTGACGACCCGGCCAGTGGCCGTCAGCAGGAAGCGGGCATCCTCGCTGAGAGCCAGGGAAGCGCAGGCCACAGGGTGGACACTGGATAGCTGCAATGGAATGTTCTTGGAAAACACTGCCTCTCAGTAGAGGGCAGGCAGCCTAAGGCCTCCCCGCCAGCCCCCTGCCCGGCCAGAGGGGCTGCAGGCACAGAAGTCAGACCTGGAGGGGAAAGGGAAGGCCAGGCTGGCGGGCTGTAGGCCCAGAGCTCACCTCACGGACAGTGCAGCCTGACGTGGCGTCCAGCACCACAACTTTGTTGGATGATGTGGACACCAGCAGGTGACCTAGTGTTGCAGGGCTAAAGCAGACAGCCACGGCCGAGTCCAGGCGGCTGCTGGCCAGGTCTGGGGTGCTGATGTCGACACGCAGCAGCTGGGGAGAGCAGCAAGTGGCTGCTGGCCTTGGCCTCCAGGCAGAGTTGGAGCCTCCCAGAGCCAGGCAGGAGGGAGGCAGTCTCAGGGCCTTACACAAGGGAAGCTACCTCACCCAGTACAGCGGGGCTGGCCCCGGCACTCCCACTAGGCTGGTATGTTCTATGCCCATGAGTGAGGTGTGGCCGGGCCTGGGTCTTGCTCCCAAGTGACTGTGGCCTCCGGCCTGCCCCTGCGTCCCCTTGAACTTTGCACCAGGCCAAGGAGAGCCCCTGCCTGCCCATGAGCCACGCGGCAGCCAGAGACGGGGGTACTGATCAGTCCTGCTGGGCAGACTGAGTAGCTGCCACGCTGGACCCAGGAGGCCCCACCGACTCACCTCACCCAGGGAGGCCGAGTCCATGACCGTCACTGTGCACCTGGAGGGGCCCACAAAGGCCAGGAGGCGGCTGTCCCCACTCACTGCCAGGGCATTGGGGCTCAGGTGGGAATCCCGGCACACCATGTCCACTGTGGCAGCATGGTGGGGAGGTCAGCGGTGGGGAGGGAGCACCCAGAGCACACATGGGTCAGGGCCCGAGGAAGTGCTGCCCAGCCCTGCCCCACCTGCAGAAACCCCAGCCCAGGGAGGGCAGATCCCTTGGCAGCAGCCCCTAGGGATTGGGTGCAGGACACTGAGACACCAGTAAACACAGGATACCACCCATAAAGTGCGGAGCTCTTGTGGACCAGGACTGACCACAGAGTGTTCCCCTCAAGTTATGGCAGCCGTGGGAGGGGGGAGGTGACCTCCCATCTGCTGCCCTGGTGCTCCAGTGTCCCCCTCCTGGGGCATGGTGGGCACAATCCCCTCGCTGACCTTTGGCTCTGGAGGGCTGGGAGCTCAATACACATTCTCCCAGGGGTCTAGACAGCTACTGAAGGCAACAACACTGCCCACACAGGATCCAGCAGGTCAGGCAATGTCCTGCACCGAGTCCCGGGCCTCCCCAGTCCTTTGGGACCAGCCTGAGTGGCTTACAGGAGCCTGACCTGCCACTTGGAGGACACAGCTCCGCGGGATGGCGCAGCTATACTGGGCCAGGGTGCCCAGGGAGCAAGAGCTGAAGAGAAATTTGCCATTGGGGGTGACAGCCAGGCCGGTGATGGCTCCTCGGTGACACCTGCACCACACACAGGAATGCTCCCTGGCCTCAGTCCTTGGAGCCCAGTCAGGATGCAGGAGCCCTGGGAGCCACCCTGGCCCTGGCCCTCCCACCGCCAGGCCTGGTTGGACTCCCCGCAGGGCAGCAGGGGTCAGGGCAGGGGCTCAGGTCATGCTGGCCTTCCCAAAGATGGTCCTCTCCCACCCCGTTGAACCCCCCTAGGGGATCCCACAAACAACCCCAGCTTCCACTGTAGGGTCTCTGTGTGGTCCAGGCCCCTGAAGGGTTGGCAGCTGGCGGGGTACTCACATGTGTTCCACCAGGACCTCGGTGGCCTCCAGGCTGAAGGAGTGCACGGCCCCACTGCTGAAGCCACAGAAGAAGGTCGGCTGCACAGGGTGGAAAGCGACAGCGCATGGGGCCTCACCAGGTGACTTGAAGTCATACAGCTGTGGGACGGAGGCCATGGTGAGGGCTGGGCAGGGTCCACAAGAGCCCAAGGGACGAGAGGCTCTCCAGGTGGCTGAAGCCCGAGGGCCCCAGACATAGGCTGGAAGAACCAATGGCCCTGTGGGTCCCATCTCCTCACGGCTTTGGCCTGGCTTCTGGCCCCCAGCCCCTCCTGGCCATGCGCGCCCTCTGCCACACCCTACCTGCTGCAAGGTGGCCAGGTCCCAGATACGGACGGTGCAGTCCTGGGACACGGTAGCCAGCTGCCCTCGGCTCTGCTCTGTGGAGAGCGCCAGCACTGGGGCCATGTGGGAACGGACCAGCACACTGTACTCCCGGGACGGGATGTCCAGAAAGCCCAGGTGGCCTGAGGAGGTGCTGGATAGTACACGCAGGCCATCAGGGCTGACGCAGACCCAGCTGATGGGGCCCTCGTGCTCTGTGGAAAGGAAGGGGGATCAGCAAGTTCCCGGGCCTACGAGGGGTCATCCGGGTACCAGAGTCACTGGTATTTGGGTCATTCAGGTCCCAAGACACAGACAAACCCATTTCCTTGCCACAAAGAGCCCGGGGCTCACCACAGGCTGGGAGAGGCAAGTCCTCAAGACCACCACTCCCGGGCTGAGCAGGCACAAGGAGCACCTCACCCACCACCCACCTGGCCCTTGCATGAAGCAGACCTTCGGGCAGCCCTGACATCAGTGGATCCCTCAGGATGCAGCCCCTTGGTCCCACGACCCCCATCCAGCCCAGAGACAGTGCTGCCAACACAGAAGCCCCAAGGACCCAGCCCTCCCTGAGCTAGGAGGGGACGCTCATGGCCTCACCTGCCTCCAGGAGCACTGAGGAGAAGTCCAGGGGCCAGAGTCGCAGGTAGCCATCCTCGGAGCCCACAGCGCACACAGCTGGGGAGACGCTGAGGCTACTGATGGCAATGCCGGGGCCTGGGGACAGGAGGCATTAGTGCCACAGTGTCAATGCCACCTCCCCCTTACGGCAGGCGCCCATGTACCTGAGCTGAAGGTCTGCTTCTGTGGGTGGGGGCCGCCGGGGGTCGGCGTGGGCACCAGGTGGCGGGTCTGCTGCACAGCCATGCGCTGGTGGTCAATCTCCAGTATGTGGCCGCTGCGGCTGCAGACATACCTGCCCCAGGAGGCGACAGGTGAGCTAGGGTCCCGGGGGACAGGGCAAGCGGGGCCCCAGGCTGGGTCAGGTGATAAGAAGGGTGGGGGGACTCACAGAGTGGGGCCTTCCTGGGCCTGACTGAAGGCGAGATCAGTGAACTGCAGCATGTGATGCACTCCCAGGTCCACAGGGCAGGAGCGCAGCTCCCCCCCACGCAGCCTCCACAGCCGCACGCTGCCCCGCCCGCAGGATGCCATCCTGCAAGGAGAATGGACCATGAGCACCGCCCAGGGCCCCCAACCCCATGAGGAGACCCCACACGCATGGACTACGAAGAGGGTCCTCGAGCCAGGGACGGGAGGGGCCCCCACCCTGGACCCAAAGCCTGTCCCAGCACCACGGGCGGGGCAGCCACATCACCTGCTTTCATCAAAAAAGGTGACCCGGAAGGCCTGGATGTCAAAGTCAGTGTGCACCTTTGCGAGAACCACCACCTCGCCACCAAGGCCCACCTGGCCTGTGCCCCATGCCACCACCACCTGGAACAAGCCCATGCTGAGCCCAGGCAGCAGAACCCAGCCCGCGAGCCCTCCTCCCAGTTCCGCCTTAACTGCCCGAGGCTCAGCTGAGCCCTGCCAGGTGGTAGCTTTTGTCTCACACAGAAACCAGTCACTGAGCACTGTGGCTGCTGAGGGTCAGGGGAACCGGCCCCCTGCACACGCTTGCCCTGAGATGTGGCCGATTCCAAGGCTTCTACAAGGACAAGCAGAGCTGGGTGCCACAGCCCCATCTGCAGAAAAACAGGAAGAAGCGACCCACAAGCGAAGAGTGGACAGAAAGCAGGACGCATGCCCATGGTGAAACGCTGGGGCACCTCTGCACTATGAAGGTGTCCCTGATTCTCATACATAGGTCAACTTCAGAGGGGCTAAGGTCAACTTCAGAGGGGCTAACGTGTAAAAATCACCTGTTTCACAACTACAACACACCACCAGAGGAAACACAGTAAGTTACCTAAACACTGACTTAAAGCGATGCCCGCTGCACGAGTGACACGGCGAAGCATAAAACAAACACTCAGTGGTGTTTTCTGTGGGGGGAATTGGGTGGACACACAGATCCCAGAGGGCACAACACCCAGGGCGCAACTCAGGCTGGCAGAATCCCCATCAGGGAGGAGGCTGAGTGGGGAGCCATCATTTCCTAAGCTGCGTGGAAAATCTTTAGAAAACAGACTCTCCAGCTGCCGCCCACCAGCCAGGCCAGGACCCTGTTACCGTCCTCCCGTGGTGGTCCTTGCCGATGCCACAGAGAAGGGCTCCACTGTTGGAGAAGCTGTGGATGCAGAGGAGGTGGTCAGCGTCGCCTGGGTTGCCCCCACCCCCAGTGTGGAGGTCCCTACCCACCTGAGGGAGCAGACGGCATGCATTGGGCTCTGGAACAGGGACAGACACCCCCCGGTGTGGAAGTCCCAGAGCCGCACTATGCTGGGAGGCCGGACCTGTGTCGAGGCTAGCAGCAAGTTGCTCCCATCCAGCGCCAGGGTGGAGACCTGGGGAGGCAGAGTCTGGGGGAGGCTGCAGGACCTGCAGGCACGAGCCACCCCCGGGTCGCCATCTGGTGCCAGGGCAGTGTGGCCGAGGAAGAAGCGCTGGTCCCCAGTGTCAATGTGCAGGACAACAATGACCGCATGGCAGGGGTAGACAACAGCCACCCCATCCTTGGTCCACAGGGCCTAACACGTGGGGCCAGAGGCTGTAGTCAGTTACCAGCAGTACCTCAGGCCCCTCCTGGCTGCCTAGAGGCCAGCCTGATCTCCCTCCCGAGCCCAGGAAAGGGTTGCAGTCCTGGTCCACACACATGTGCACATGTGGGCCACCCAGGACAGAAGAGCACATGTACCCTTCACAGGCACATGCATCAAAGAGACACACATACCAAAGAACAGGGGAGGCAGAGTCTGGGGGAGGCTGCAGGACCTGCAGGCACGAGCCACCCCAGACCCTGCAGCACCCACCTTGTCCGTGTGGCCGAGGAAGAAGCGCTGGTCCCCAGTGTCAATGTGCAGGACAACAATGACCGCATGGCAGGGGTAGACAACAGCCACCCCATCCTTGGTCCACAGGGCCTAACACGTGGGGCCAGAGGCTGTAGTCAGTTACCAGCAGTACCTCAGGCCCCTCCTGGCTGCCTAGAGGCCAGCCTGATCTCCCTCCCGAGCCCAGGAAAGGGTTGCAGTCCTGGTCCACACACATGTGCACATGTGGGCCACCCAGGACAGAAGAGCACATGTACCCTTCACAGGCACATGCATCAAAGAGACACACATACCAAAGAACAGGGCAACATACACCTGCCTGCACGCACGCACACCCTCCAATCCTTGCTTCCGACACAAGAAACTCTGGGATTAGGGTAGCAAAAGACCAAAGTGCCCCCCAAAGACTCGGAGCCTGCATCCAGGAGAGCCTGACAAGTGCCCAGGCCCATTGGGGGCTGGGGGAAAAGGCCACCTCCTCCACAGCTGGGGCTCCTCCCCAGAACAGCCACTTCTCCCACCAGAACCCACACATCGCATCCACAACCAGGCCACACACGGCTGGTCTGGGTCACAGTAGTACACACTTGTCAGAGCTCTAAAGGCACGAGGGAGCGTTTCTGGTCTCTGGAAGCATTTTGTTTGTTTGTTTGTTTTTTGACCGGTAAGGGGATCACAACCCTTGGCATGATGTAGTCTGCACCACGCTCAGCCAGTGAGCACACCCTCCATCCCTATATAGGATCCGAACCCGTGGCCTCAGCGCTACCAGTGCTGCACTCTCCCAAGTGAGCCACGGGACCGGCCATCTGGAAGCATTTTAACCCGGATGGTATCCCCCAGGCTTTGCCAAGCAAATCAGGGATGCCAACAACCTGGAAACCCACGTGTGCCCATGAAGCAACAACAAATGTGGGCAGGGCAAGGGGAAGCCAGCAGAGCCTGCAGGGGGCTCAGGAATCCACACAGCCACCTGGGGAGCATAGGGTCTCCCCTCTGTCCCCCCAATACTTGCACCAACCCAATGAGAGCTGTCCTGGAAACAGCCACAGGACCCCTCACCCATTTGGTGCTGTGGCCCCCAAAACCGATGACCCGCTTGAGCCTCAGGATTGGGTCCGGGAGGAAGCTCTGAAACAGGCAAACTCACAATGAGACCCCAGGAGGGTGCAGCCCCCATCCCACCAGGGATGCCCCACCCTGGGCTGGGTCCTGCCTCTCAAGAAAACCACATGAGTCCTGGGTGGCTTCTGCTGCTGCTCTGTGGTAGAAGCCAGGATCTGGCAGCACTGCCAGGCCCTCCGGGGATTCCAGATCCTGCCCCTGCCTGACACCTATGGCCCCCCACTGACCACCTGGGGCTGGGGTGTCGTGTAGAGTTGGGGAGTGGGTACAAGCCCTTCCTTACTCTTTGTCGAGAAAGATTCTTGTCCAAAGCTGTCTCCTGCCAGCTCTGCTTTCTGCCAGGAGGCTAGATGAGAAGAGACCATCAGAGGCCTTGTCTGCCCTGAACACAACTCACGGTGGGCACAGGCCCAGCAGCCCCTTACCCACACCTTGCCCTGGCCTGGCCTGCCTTGGGACGCACACTCACCTCTCGGGAGCTGGCGTCCTCCAGGGCCATGGGCCCCACAGCTGACTCATGGGCAAACACGTGGACACCACTGACAGCCATGTGTGAGTCGGCAGTCTCCACCTGGGCCGAAGGCTCTTGGCCATGGATGCCAAGGCCACCAACTTTGAAGACTTCTGAGCACTCACGAGACAGGCTGACTTCTGGAAGGGGCTTGGCCGCCGAGGGGGCCTGCTGGGACTGTGGGGGGGACATGTGTCCATCAGCATCCTGGGGCCACCCTGGGCCCAGCCCTATCTCGGGGGACAAGGAGGCACTCACGGCTGTGGGGTTGGGTATCTGGACCACAGAGGATATGCTGTCCTGCACGGGTTTGCTGAAAGCCACCAGGTGAGGGAAAGGCTGTGGCATAGGCCCCATGAGGACTGCAAAGGAGCAAAGAGTCCCAATAACTGGCAGAACAGTGCACAAAGACACCTGGTGAAGACGTGGCCACAAGGCACTGGCAGGTGTGGGGGCAACAGCAGGTGGCCCCAGCTTCACCCCGTCTGCGGGAGGCGCCACACTGATGGCCACAGCCCACCATCCACCCCAGGTCCCAGCACTCCCTCTTCCAGCTGGAAAGCTTGGGGCCCAGGGTGCCTCTTACACAGACCTCCCACATGGTTCTAGGAACTTGGACAAGCTGCAGGCTAACCTGGGCCCCTGGGTGTACTGTACAACCAGGCCCCCTCACAGTCTTCCCTGCCCCCCGAGCTCCACATGCCCTGCAGGCCTGATCCTGGGTCCCTGTTGACCCTATAGGCCCACCTGCCTCAGAAGGGGAACAGCTCTTCTGAATCGGCTGGGAAGGTGCTTTCAGGCTGTCACTTGGAAACCTCGGTGGGCAGAGGAATAGTCAGCGTCTGGTGCCAAGGGGCCTCCCTGCCTTCCCACCACCAGAGGTCTCCCCCGGGAACAGCAGAGCCACTCACCGGATGTGGACGTAGTGGTCGTGCCAGCTCTCCCCCTTTGGCACCGGGAATGCCATCTCTCGAGGCACAGGAGTGACAGGCAGCTGTGCCCGCCGGGCCTCAGTGACAGAGACAGCTACAAGGAGCAGGGTTGCTCCAAGTCACAGGCAGCCTGTTCCACCACCTCTCCTAGACCCAGGTGAAGCTCACTACCAGGCGCCCACGAGGTTACTGTGCAGCTACCAGCCCAGCTACCAACCCCACCACATGGTCCCAGTCTCCAACTACACCAAGCCAGAGCTCAAAGATAGCACAGCAGGGGCACTTTCATCAAGTGCCAGGACTTGAGCCCTTCCTAGGCTGAGAACTAGGGGGGAATGGAGACCAACACAAAGGGGAGTGGGCGCGGGGTGTAGGGTGTGGCCCTCACCAGGGTCGAAGCACAAGTTGCTGGTGTAGAGGTTTCTGACCAGCAGACTGGCACACAACTTGATGCTCTTGAGATGGCTATAGTGCCGGTTCAGGTAGACTAGAAGGATGTCCTGCAAGTCGAGCTGTAGGCAGGTCCAATGGGCACAAGGAGGAGCCGCGCCTGCCAGGTCTGCAGGACGGGTGCCCAAGATCAGTGTCTACCCTCTTCCCAGCTCCTCCTCCCCAGCTATGACCCTGTGCCTTGCCCAGGCTGCCCCTCGGGGCCATGCAGGAGCCCAACTGGGCCTGCAACCATCTCTCTCCGGGCCCTCAGGCAGCCTTTCCCGACCACTCATGCCCCATCTTGGTATCACCTCTCCCGGATGTCCTGCCTTCAAAAATGAAAGGGAACTGAAGCCATGTGGCCGTGGACTTGAACTCCTTGAAGAGATTGGAGAAAGACACGCGGATGACCTGGCTGTCCTGCAGGAGCAGAGTATGGCTGTGAGGACACAGAGGGGGCGGCAGGAGAGCAGCCTGCACGCACAGACCCCAGTCCTGAGCTCCGAACCTTGGTGGACACGTCCAAGTGGATGACAAAGTGCTTGGAGGGCAGGGGCCGGAAGAGCACATACAGGTACCGCCCGGTCAGCCCCAGGGACTGGGTGCTAGTTTTGGGGAGCTGGATGTAATTGCCAGCGGAGACGGAGCCCCGGATGCGATACACGGTGCTCTTCAGAGTCTTGTCCTGGAGAGAGACAGGAGCCCGCGTCCACTCAGAAGGGGCCACCTACCGACCCCCAGGTGGCGCAGCGTGGCTTCCCAGCAGGACAGGAGGGGCTGCTAGGTACCCTGGCTCCCATACCGTCACCAGGGCCACGTCGCCCTCCTTGGTGGACCGCGTCCACTCGTCCACCTTGAAGTGTCTGAAGACGTTCAGGAACGGGTGCTGCCACACTGCGGGAAGGGGGCCCGGGGATGCGGATCACGTCAGCGGGGGGCCACTAGAGCCTCCGGGGCTGTCCCCGCCCTCGCCAGCGACGACAACCGCGCTCAGGGCGGGCTGCCCCCGAGCAGCCG